TCCCAGTTTAGAGGGATCTGAACCCAGGATAGCTCCTCGGTGACCAAGGAGCCCAGTGACAGGGCCTGGTGACTAAGTTCCTTGGTGGCAGACACACAGACACGTCTGTTCCATCTCTGAGCACCTACAGCAGGTAGAACAGTGCAAGCATTTTCTGAGTTCACTGTCTATTTTGGAGAATCCAGTAATCTAGCCTTAAAATGTCACCCCATGATTGTCGGCTGTATGAAGTCATATCAAGTTGATCTGAAGCCCAGAGTGCAAGAAAACACTCGGGCCTCATATTACACAGATCATAAAATGGCCATATAGCTGTCTCCATATCCATTCACCAAATCTCTATGGAGCAATTTCTCTATATAGGTTCAATGGCAAATTTTCTATATAGAACACACACATACATACACGCTTAGTCACTGGGCAAACATCTGAAACAAACCAACTCCTGTCATTGATTAACATACATCTACGTAAGTGAGTGAAAACAGACATTCCAAAGGCCTGAGTATTTAACTTCTCAGGGGTTCAGGGGAGCTACATCCCTCAGGAAAGAAGGAAGGAGGTTAGAGAATATTGTGCATGGGCAAAAGGGCTTTGGATGTAGAAAAGAGGGTTCTGGGAAACTCTGGCACACACACACACACACACACACACACACATTCACACACCAGGAAACATGGAGGTGAAAGAGTGAGCCACATGTGTGGATTTCTGAGGAAGGGACCACACAACAGTTTGGCTAAGGAGGCAGATAAAGCCCTGGGCTAGAAGTTCAGTGAGTTGGAAGTGAGCCTGACAGGAGAGGAGGGGACAAAAGTCCTCTGCCAGAAGATGGTGACACTGCCTCCTGAGCTTTCTGATTTAAAACCGTTGGTTGCAACATCCCTGTTAACTTCACCATGTCTCGGGAATTCTGGACTATATATCCTAGGGTCCTGACTCTTAAACTTGAAGGACATACCAGCTTCCCTGCCCGCTCTCGACTCTGACAGTTGGAGACTTGGAGGCTAGGATTGAACCAAGAATTCTGAGGTCTGGGCACTGGATTAATGCTGGGTTATTGAGGAAACATATGTATATAGCCCATTATGTCAGAGAAAGGAAGGGAGAGAGGGAAGGAGGGAGGGAGAGAGGGAAGGAGGGAGGGAGGAGCAATTGAGTTAGTTAAAAGCTAACCTTCTAAGATTAAAATTGAAACAGCAAGTAATGATCAAGCTCAGTTCTAAAATACCCCAGTGGTGGGAAGGGAAAACAGACAAGATCTCCTGAGTAAAATGGGAGCATGGGAGAGAGAAGAGAGGGCAGGAAGGGAGGGAGAGGGAAGAGGGGAGGGGGAGGAGAACATGAGGGAACAGGATGGTCCAGTTGGAGGAAGGACGGAAAAGGAGAACAAGGAAAGAGATATCTTGATAGAGGAAGTCATTATGGGGTTAGAGAGAAATCTGGCACTGTGGAAATTCTAGGGATCCACAAGGATGACCTTAGCTAAGACCCTAAGCAATAGTGGAGAGGGTGCCCGAACTGGCCTTTCCCTGTGGTCAGATTGATGACTACCAATTATCATCATGGGACCTTCAACCAGTAGCTGGAGGACTCAGATGCAGAGATCCACAGAAGCACTGGCCCAGCTCGCAGAGTCCATCTGAAGAGGGGAAGGAGTGATAATATGAGCAAGGGGGTCCAGCCCAGGACGGGAAAACCCACAGAAACAGCTGAGCTGAGCTAGGCAGCAAACGGGAGCTCACTGACTCCAAACTCACAGCTGGGGAACCTGCTAGGACCAATCTAGGGTCTCTGAATATGGGTGACAGAGGTGGGGATTGGGAAGTCTGTGAGGCCACTGGCCATGGGATCAGGATTTACCTTAATTCATGAGCTGTCTTTTTGGAGCCCATTCCCTATGGAGAGATACCTTGCTCAGCCTAGATATGGGGGGAGCGCCTTGGTCCAGCCTCAACATGATGTGACAGATTTTGTTGACACCCCATGGAAGGCCTCACCCTCTCTGAGGAGTGGATGGGGGGGGGAGGATGAGGAAAAGTTGGGGGAAGAGCGGGGAGAGGGTGGGAGAGCTGGGATTGGTATGTAAAATAGAAAATGATTCTTTTTAAAAACTAAAATAAAATAAAACAATGCCCCAGTAGTGACTGGCCCACATCAAGGCTACATCTGTCAAAAAAAAAAAAAAAACAACAACAACAAAAAAAAAAAACCACAGCTCACACAGCAGCTGTCAACTGCCCTTCACCAAACCCTGGACCCAGAACCTAAGATCTCTCAGCCTTCTCCATCCCTGTGATGGAGAATGTTAACTGTTGACTTGACCTAACAGGCAAAGGTCTGAAGACGGAATCTCAGTGAGGGACCGAGGAACGTCCGTGTGAGGTTGTCTTAATTAATTGATGTGTGAAGACCCAGTCCAAGGTGCGTGGCACCATTCCCTCGTCAGGGGTGCTGAACTTTGTTAAGAAATCCAGCTTAGCACAGGCAAGCGAGCATGTGTGTACTCCTTTCTCTCCTGATTTGGATTGAGAGGACTGTTTGAAGTTCTTGCCTTGGTTTCCCCACCATGATGGATATAACCTGGAACTATAAATTTAAATAAACTCCGTTCCCCCTAAGCTGCTTTCTATCACACTATTTTATCACAACCCCACTAATGAAGCTCGGATAATCCCTTCTCGTGTGGCCCCCAGCAGCCTCAGACCTCAGTCTCCATCACCATCACCATGTGGTTGCCTCTGAAGTGTCACTGCATCAAGCCGGCCCTCCCTGCTGCCATCCAGGAGACTGAGTGGGCATGGATCCCACAGACTACACTTTATCTTCCCTTGGCCACCTGCCAGACAATGCCAACATCACCTGTCCCCAGAAAATCCATTGCTATTCTACTTCCACCTGCTCCCCACCTTCCTCACTCGGCTGATGGTGACTTCAGTCTTCCAACTTCTCATGGAACCCTTCCGTGACTCGACTCTCTCTCTCTCACATCCCAGAGTTATCGGTACCTCTCTTTCTCTCACATCCCAGAGTTATCGGTACCTCTCTCTCTCTCACATCCCAGAATTATTGGTACCCCTCTCTCTCTCACATCCCAGAGTTATTGGTACCTCTCTCTCACACACACATCCCAGAGTTATCGGTATCTCTCTCTCTCACACATCCCAGAGTTATTGGTACCTCTCTCTCACACACATCCCAGAGTTATTGGTACACAATAAAGGTTCTTTCTTAAAACCCATCTGCTGCTCTTCACTTCTCGTCTCTGCTGGCATCACTTTGAGCTTCACCAGGGATCGGTTCCTCTGCCCCTGTCCTTTGTCATCTCAATCCAACAGGCAGAGGGACTCAGTTAAAACCCGAGTCAGTCAGACTGCCTCGCCTCCATCCACAGGTCTCCAAGGGCGCTCATCTCACTCAGAGGGAAAGCCAAGGTCCTTTCCAGGGCCCCATCAAGATATCCTTCTTCCTTCCCCACCCCTGCTCCCTGTGGTCTCCTGTAGTGACCACCTCCTCTCCACCCTGCCTCACTCCATGCTCTTCACTTCCTGTTGAGCTCCACGCACAGTCAGGCCCCACTTCTCTTGAATGGAAACCATTCTTAGGGAAGGGGAAGGTTCAGACAGGAATCAGAAGGTCCCATGCCCGGGAAAGGGGGACCGGGGACCCCCCCGGGGGGGGGGGGGTCCTTCCTTGGGGACTTCTTCTGGGAAGGAGACTGGTCGATAGAGCTGCAGAGATTTGCCGGACCCCGGAGCTGCCTGCATGCTGTATAGAGAGCTAAGTGTGGCTGCTCTCAGGAGCCATCACCTGTGTTGGGGTGTGCCTCTTAAAGGTGCAGCTGCTTTTCTGCATCCTCCTCCTCCTGTGATCCCAATAATGACTCATTGAACCAACAAATTGGACCTTGGTGCAGTCATTACTTTGGTCAGTTGTGGGTTCCTTTTCTAGGGTGAATAGATGTGTGTCTGTCACAAAGCCATGTTCCACATCTTATTTTTGCTGAACTCCTACTGTTCCATACTCCCTTTCTTTACCCTGCCTCTGGTTGCCCTCCACCTCCCATAATGCTCCACCTCCTACTGAGGGCTGTCTCCCATTGTTCCTCCTCCAGTTATGTTCCATTCCCTGTTGTACCCCACTTCCCATCATGCCCCATCTCCCAGCATGCCTCACTTCTCCTTATTCCACCTCCTGTCATGCTCTGCCTCTTTCTGAGCTCAGTCTCTCATTGTTTCAGCATCTCCCTTTGCGCCCCATCTTCCATCATGCCCCGTCATACTGTGCTTGGCCCGCTCTGTTCTGGTCACTCTGGCTCTTTGCTGTTCCACACACCAGGCCTGCTCCTTTCAGAACCTCACCTGTGTTATTTCTTCTGCCCAGCCCCCCTCCTTACAAAGACACACTGGCTCTTCTAGGAAAACTACAGTACCACTTAAGATTGATTGTCAGCCCCCAGCCCGTATCCCCAGCTCCCTCTCTATCACATTCTTTTCTCCCTGGCCTTTGACCCATAACACACTCCAATGGATCATCTCCTCATCTCCCTCACTGCCATGTAAGCACTATGAGGTCCCAGCTTGACTGTCTTTGTGCAGTACTCCTGATCCAGAAGGCAGTTTGGGGGCATATAGCAGCTGCTCATTACATGTGTGTGAGTTGAGTGGAGTTCAAAGACTGGAAGCTTGAAGCATGCTTCTCTGCCAGCCTCCAAGTGCTCTGTGGGGTCCAGGTGGCCAGACTTACAAGGGCTCCTTCAGCCCCTCACCCTTAGAAAGGCAAGGGTAGTGGACACCAGGAAAGAGCACAGTATAGCCGGGACTGTTGTGGGAGGTTGAAGGTGTTGATCGACAGCTGGCTCTTGGCATCTGCGTCACGTTGGCAGCCTGTTGAGCCAGGGCGGAATTCTCCTTCCTGCTCCTCTGGGCAGGGAGAGGATGCCTCCCTATGAATAAAGCTCAAGTCTGAACTCCTGGGAGGATGCTGTTTTGGACTGGCTCTCAGGGTGATGCTTTGTGGTTGTGCAAAACCTGGAACAGTGAGGGCATTAGGACCAGGAGAGAGACTCTCGCTTGGCTCCCATTGTGTCTGGCAGAGGGTTCCTGCAGGGCTGGAGCTATGTGTGAAAGGAAACTGGGCAGTGCCTGCTGTCTTTAGGCTTTAGTCTGTTGGTCTGGCCTGACTCAAGGCGTCCAAAGGAGGATGTCTGTCTTCCTGGCTTGACTGAATCCCCAGCCACTTGCCCCAGACATCCCATTGAACTTTACCATTCATGCAGAGGGGGGAAGAAACACGGGACTAACCACCAGAGCAGAATGGACAAGAGCAGGGTGAGGGGGGCAAACAACACAACCAGAGACCCTTTCCAGAAGACAATTAACAAAATTCAGAGAGGACCAGGGGCAGCCCCAGGCTCCTGCGGCTTTCTGGTTCCAAGGGAAGTGGATCTTACAACTGCTGCTGGCAAGTGTCAGATGGAATAGAAGGAGCAGGTGACTGGCAAAAAGCCTCTTGGCTGGAATGAGCAGCCCAGACTCAATGACAAGCTTGACCTGATCAGGACCTGCTGCTCTGGGCAAGTGGCTACGATATGCTCCTGAGGAAGAGACCCAGGAACGGACGCTGCAGGCTTCAGTTCCTCCTGCTCTTGCTGACACTCGGATGTGTCCTGATGATGGTGACCATGCTGCATCCTCCCCCGCCCACCCTGCACGAAGCTGTCACAGTCCAAGCTAGCAAACACAGTTCTGACGCTGGGTATCGCCTGGATTTGGGGGACTCCCAAGAATGGGTTCTGGAGGCTGAAGACGAGAGTGAGGAGTACAGCTTCTTGGACGGCCTTCTGCCCTTCATCTCCCTGCAGGAGGATCAATTGCTGGTGGTTGTGTCCTCACCCATGGCTAAGAGGAATCAGAGCCAGCACCTGAGACAGAGCAGCTACCAGTTCATCAAACACCCGAACAGGAGGCCGGATGAGGAAGCCCCTGAGAGGGATTGGAGGACTGAGGAGGTTGGGGAGGACTCAGAAGAGTCGCTGACCCCACTCAGCCTGGACACAGAGAGCCTCAACAAGGCATTCAGTGACTACCTGCCCCCGAAGAGAGTCCTGCCTGAGGTGCGGCACCCCATGTAAGTAAGACCCCTGCGTTCCCTTCTCTGGTATATGGTGTGATTCAGGGGTAGCAAAGTCAGGGGTGGGGACTATCTGCCATCTGCCTCTCCCATCCTTGGGACAGTGGCCCCTGAGATGTGGTCCCCATCAGCCTTGCTGATGAAGTGATAAAATTAAAGATCCTTAAATCCCATCTCAGACCTGCTCAGCCAGATGCCTCAGATCCACAGATCTGCCTCTAACAAGTCCTGAAGGAGAGATGGTCTCTTCCCAGTCCTAGGTTCTAGTCCCACTGCTAATGCCCCTGGGTCGCAAGACTTTAATAGGGAGATGGAAGCACAGTTCTTCAAGGGTCCTCCCAGCTCTCATGATGGACATTCAGTTTTTCACATTGGTTTGTCATTAGTGTTTGCCTTTATCTGGGATCAGAGAAGCAACTGCAAACATGGCAAGAAATGCTTTTTTACTTCTTGCCATGGTCTGGTTTAAATCTAAGCTTTCTGCATGCAACCCAGAAGGTCCTAGAAAGTCCTCTGCATTACTTTAGCTTCACACCTAGTTTGTACGGTAAAAAGCAAGGAACAGAGAGGCTCTATGGCTTGCCCACTGTCACACAGCTGATAAGTGTCAAAGTAGGAATTTGAATTCAGGCATTTAAGCACCATTGGGTCCTGAAGCACCACTCTCTACCACCCTTCTCCATCCCAACAAGAAAAGAACAGTTCCCTTGCCTGGGAGCTCATATATGGTACCGACCAGTTTAGCCTAAAGTATTTGTGACTTGCAGATCTGTGCCCAGGCAGAATGTGGTGGCTCATTCTCTAGCCCCTGCTTCCCCTCCCAGGATGGACAGCCAGAGACAGGCAAGAGATTGCTTACCCAAATCCAGAGGCAGTGTGGCTGGACAGCCAGAGTGACCTTGGGCCCTGCCCTAGAAGCCACGACTCTTTCCACAGCCCACTGAGTTTCTGGAAAGCAAGCTCATCTTCTGCCCCTGGAAGTGAAAGGACACATGCGCAGTGACAGTTGGGAGCAGGGCCATGAGACTTTGGACCCCTGACCCCTCTGCCTTGTCACTGATTACCTAAGAGCACAGATCTCCTGAGGTTGTTTGTCCTGGAGCACCCACCTGCCCTTGGAGCACCCACCTGACCGCAGTCCCAGCTCTGCGATGCCGACTTCATACCCTGGCTTTAAAAGTTCTGTCCAGAACCTCCCCCACTCCAGTTTCAGGCTCCCTCTGAACTCCCAGCACGTCATAGAACAGACACTAAATAGCCATCAGCGCGTTTGTTTGTGCCGTGCCTGCTTCTGCCACTGTGCCGAAAGCCTGCAGAAGGTCAGCACAGCTGTGCACCGCATGTCTTAGCATCCAGCACACAACTCCCTGTACAAAAATGACTGCTGGATGAAGGAGCAACTTTCCAGTTCTGTCCATGTGTGTTGTCATTGGCTGAGAGAAAAAGGGAAAGTCTTTATTCTGTAAACAAGAAATGTTGGCTCTGGCTTTGGGATGTGGGTGTGACTCTGTCTCCAGAGCACTCTGAATATGCACACTCGTGTGTGAACTGCGTGTATGCATGTGCACATATGCACTGTGCATGCATCGTATGTTGAATGCATATTATGCTATGTATAGTAAATAAATGTGTGTTGTATGTAGTACATGTGTATAGTAGTTTGGGGTTTTGTCTATGCAGGTTGTATGTGGGGGTCATACCACCCATCATCATAGGGCAGAAGTGTGAGCTATATAGGTATGGTGTCATGTGTGTATGCATGTTGTGAATGTTTGCTGATGTGTACAGTGCATACATATATGTAGGTTATCTATTGTGCATTGGAGCATGTATTATGTGGAACTGTGTGTGTTTTGATGTGTGTTTGTCTTGTATGTGTTTATGTAGTATGTATGTGTGTTGTGCTGCGCCTATTTTATATGTATCATGTGCCTTTGTGTGTATAGTGCCAGTGTATGTATTGTAAGTACTTTATGTGTTGTAAATGTGCCGTATGTGCACTGTATGTGAGACACATGTGCATGTGTTATGTATTTATTATGTAGTAATAGTAAATGACATGTTGTGAGTGTAGTACAAAGTGGGTGCCTTTTGTGGCACGAGTGCCATGCATAGGTGTAGATGTAGATGCACTATGTGTGGCATACATGAGTAGACTGCACATGCCTATTGTATGTGCTGTATGTTTGATGTGATGTGCACATGTACCGTGCCTATATACATGCGTATACAACATGAAACTTTATTTTCCGTGATATACGGGGCACGTGTGTGTTCTTTGTATTGTAAAATGTTTATTGCGATAGTCATGTGCTCGTGTTAGAGTGTGTTGCTTGTTGTGAGATGTGAATGTGTGAATTGTGGGGAGGGTTGGTGGTACAAGCAGATACAGATACACCTGGTGTGTTAGACATAAACAAGCCTGTACACTTGTATATATTGGGAAGACCCCTTTGTTGGCTCTTTTTTCCCTCCATGGTAATCACTGCATTTCAGTTGTCTGGGCCATTTTAACCCTGGCAGTCAAGAAACCTCTCTGCCTAAAGTGAAACACTACTGGGCTCTCCATCCCAGGGTTTTCATAGTGACCAGCTCTATGTAGCGGTGGACAGCGCCCTCTGCTGGCTGTCATCAGCGAGTGCGGTTGGTGCAGCCAGAGCTCACATCTGCTACCAGACCCCAGATCTCCCAGCCCACAGAAGGCTCCTGGATACCCAAGAGTCCCTGCAAAGCCAGGCAAAACCCCTGTCCTCTATCCAAGCTGGCAGCGCTCTCTTTCCCTCCACCTTCCAGTGGGTGAAAAGACAAGAAATGCTGCATATAAGCCTCTGTCTGCTGTGTGGGGCCCTGAGCTTTCCTACCAGGGCTGGGAGACTCTGCCTCTTGTGTCCTCTCCCCCACATTCCTCCAGTATCCTGCAGGTTTATGAGGTCTTAAGCACGTACCTAGGACTGGTTGTCCCTGTAAGGGACATTGCTTCATTGCTTACTACTTTTTTTTTTTTTCCCTGGTGAGGAAGGAACCAGGCAGAAGGACGCTCAGCAGCATTGGGGGACTGTATGCCTCAGACAAGGCCAGGTCCAGACTGGTGACTCTGGTTTTTCTCTGAAGAGGGACCCAAAAAGAAGTTTCATTTTAGGAGGGTTCTTTCGTAAAGTGAAGCTGTGCTGCTCCGTGCAACAGACCTGTTACCATATTCCCTCCAGGATGGACTCCATGGCAACAAGTCAGGCAGCTGCTGAGTCCCTGCTCCCTGACAGGGCTGTTGGGCTCACATGGCCCCTGGGGTTTAGGCAGCACAGTGAGTCAGAGTATCCAACCATGTGTTGGTGAAATAGACATCGCCCAGAAATTCTGAAGGTAGAGTGTCTTAGGCTCTCCCACATACCAAGGATGGGCCTAGAGGATGCGGGCCCCTTTGTTGAGCTTCACCTGAGATGGTGACGCTGTTGTTTATCCCCACTGTACAGTTGAGGGCCATCATCTCAGTTGATGGGACCAGCTCCCCTTAAGAACAAAGAAGGTGCTGGGTTCAGCAGAGCAGAGCTCTGAGATCTGAGGTAGAGAGTTAGAAGGTGCTGTTGTAATGTGTTGGGATCTCTGTGTGGCTGGCTACTTGACGAAATCCCAGGAGAGCCACTGAATTGTAACAGTGATGTGGTTGTGGTGGGCCAGCCAGGGTGGAGGAGTGAGGGTCCTGGTCTGACTTCTCTGCAGAATCTCCTCCATGGGGGCTCCCTAACTCTCTTCCCCTGCAGGTGTCTACAGCAGCACCCTGCAAGTGGCCTGCCTACAGCCAGCGTCATTCTCTGCTTCCATGATGAAGCCTGGCCCTTGCTCTTGAGAACCGTACACAGCATCCTGGACACAGCGCCCAAGGCCTTGCTGCAGGAGATCATCATTGTAGATGACCTCAGCCAGCAAGGTAAGTGAAGTTTGGCTTCTGGATCACTTGGGAGTGGTTGGCCCTGGGCCAGAAGGGAGGAGGGAAGGACAAGACAGGGGGGAAGGGGAGTTCCATAAAAGAAAGAGTTCAAGGCTATAGACAAGGTTCCCCGGATGTGGAGCTTCAGGTGATGAGGGAACATATACTCCACTGCGAGTAATTTATTTATGTGAGAAGATCAGTAAGGCAACAAGGAAAGGGGACAACAGAGGAATACTCGAACAAGGAAGAGTCCTGGGATAGGGAACTCCCAGGAGAGGGTAAACCCAAGAGGCCCTGGGGAGGGTCACTTCAATCTGATTCTCTTGGGATTCTTTTCCTCAGGCCCCAATTCTTCACATTGCTATAAGCCGCAATATTTTACAGTAATTACTCAGCCATCTTTTCATGAGGTGACTCAGCAGAGCCAAGGATTTTGGTGATGGCTTAAACCAAGACGCAGAGCGTATTGGTGTTTCTGCCTTGTGAATAAAGTGGCTGTTGTTTTGCTGTAGATTTTTTGCTGTAGCTGACTTCCCTTCTGTTACGAATTTGGGATTTATCTCCTACAGCTCAGCAATGTTTGAGTTATGTGTAAAGACAGTCACACAGTCAAAAAGACCCACTTCCCACTACCAGGTCTTTGCTCCTCTCCTATCTAAACATAGAGATCTGCCTTCATGCAATTATCTTTATTGACAGACATTTGGTCAGTGTTTAGGGTCCAGAAAAAAGCATTCTATTTAAGACATACCCAGATATCCAAGGACATAGAATTACCACATGCCCAAAGTTGTTAATTCATACCTGCTCACAAAGATAGAAAAAATAAGTACGCCCTGGTTTTACCTCAGTTTTAGATAAGAAAAGTTTTGACCTAGAACTAACCTTGCATTAAAAGATTCCTAACTCTTCACCTCACCTTCACCTCAGTTTACTGATGACTTTGGTCCAGGAGATATACTGCTTATGTCTTACTCTCAGGAAAAAATAATTAACCATCTACCCACAGCCCAGTGAATGACAAACCTTCACTGGTGTCTCTGATAACCACCAAGCTTAAGAGTTTGTTGACATTGAAGCTTGCTAACATTTAAAAAAAAATGCTAATGGACCAATGGCCATAAACTTTCCTTGTCTGTTTACTTAGGCTGCCTGGTGACCTATGCCTGCAATGTTTTGTGGGCCTATAGAGCTGGGTGAGAATAGAAGCAGGAACAGAAAAAAACTGGATATTTATGCAATAACAATTAGTGGGAAAAGAGACCATAAATTTGAAGGACAGTAGGAAGGGATATATGGAAGGGTCTAGGGGGAGAAAAAGAGAAGGGAAAGATGTTGTACTTAAATTAATCTCAAAAAGAAAACAAGCAAACAAAGGACCACATTACAGTTCAGTAGTAGAGCACGTGCCCATTCTGTGTGAAACCCTGGGTTTCACCCTCAGTAACTTTACCAGCTAACCCTGAACCCCAGGGTCTCTAGACCTCAGTTGTGCCCAGGTACCCATAGCTCTAACAAGCAGCCAGGTGAAGTGATGCCATCATCTGAGAGCCCACATTTGCATAACTCATGATCTGGTCTTTCCTTGGGGATCAAAGTCCTCTTTGCTTAACTCAGACATTTAGCAGCCCGGCTGGCTTCAAGGAAAAGTAGAGGCACTGGGCAGAAATCTGAGCCCTGCTGGGGTCTGCCCAGACCTTCTATAACAAAGGAGGGTGGGATGGAGGGATGGAGTCTCTTTTGAAGATTCTTCCATCTTGAATTTGCCAGCCTGGCCATCACAGAGGGTCACAGCAGCTGAAGGCACTGGAATTGTGTGGGATTAGCAAGGTACATTTGATAGCATTTGTTGAGGCTGATGGGCAGGCAGTGCACTGGACTGGTTGGTAAAGTACCTGAAGTCCCTTTGGGTCCTGGCTGGGTCAGAGTCCTCTGAAGAGCAGGCCTATTGTCCCTTCTTGTCAACTAATGAGCTGCTTTGGTTCCTGCTGTGACTTCCCTCAGTGATGAAGTGTGACCTGAGACTTGTAAGAGGAAATCAACCTTTTCCTACCCAGGTCACTATTGGTCCTTGTGTTTTATCACAACAATAGAAACCTAAGACAAGCTTCCTCCCAAGTCCTCAGCTTCAGCCCTTCCTACTTGAGGGCACCTGGATTCTTGGCTAGGAGCTAAGTCACAGCTTTTGCATCTGTCCAAAGCCCACAGCTGGAAGGGCCCATGGTTTCTCCTCTCCTCTACATCCTCTTCTCAGACTCATCCTGCCACTGGGTGAAACCTCTGAGACAACACCTCCGTGGGCTACCAGCTGCAGTTTCATGACCCTCTGCTCTTAAGCCCCTTGTCCGCTGTCTTCAGCTGGGCTCTCTGGATGAGAGCTGAAGCTGGGATGTAAGAGCAAGTGGTTTTCTTGAGCAATAATCTTGATCTCAGTTGCAGTTCTCTCCTCCTCTGGTTTTCCACTCCTCCAGCCTGTTGGCTGATACAGAGAACTGTGCACCATCCCAAACTTCAGAAATGACCACCTTTAGTAACACATTGGAGGCTCAGAATCTGGTACCCGCTGGGGTCTCTAAGTCTGCAATGCTCATCACAATCCTGTTCAGTGTGGCATCCATGACCCCCATTGACAGGACCCTGTCAATTCCAGAACAACTGAAGTCTGCTCTCAGTGACTATGTGGCCAGACTGGAGGCTGTGAAGCTGCTCAGGAGCAACAAGAGGCTTGGCACTGTCGGAGCCCGGATGCTGGGGGCCACCATGGCCACAGGGGATGTGTTGGTCTTCATGGATGCCCACTGTGAGTGCCACCCTGGATGGCTGGAGCCTCTCCTCAGCAGAATAGCTGATGACAGGTAATTCATTCCACCCAGGATCTTCAAAGCAAGGAGTGGGTCTGGGAGAGACAGCCCAGGCACAGTTACTCTGAGAACAGACTATCTACCCACCATTTGAGAAGCACCTTGGTTTCCACTGATTGCTATTCCTTAGGATTTCCAGACACTTGGGTGTTGTAAGACGTGTGGGGAGTTACCGTTGGAAGGAAGGCTAGAAAACAGCTTCTACAACGTCTAGATGAGCCAGTCCTGCTAAGATGCCTAGGAAGGGCAGTACACACCATGCCTGTTCTGATTCCTGGACTTTGCCAGTTTCTGTTGGGGAAACAAATTCCTAAACTAGCCTAGAGCACAGGTCACCTATGTGCAGGAAGAGGGCATTAGATTTCCCCATCACTGGTTTTCTCAACAGTTAACTTTCTTTGCTCCTCTGTAGCGTCCACAGAGCTCCTAATTTTCTAACCCTATCATGCTATCTTTTCCACTCCTCTTTCTCATCTCCACTTCTTCCTATGCCTGACCTATCTGTCATGCCCCTCAATATGACTATCGTATTCAGAAAACCTAACCCTGGTAACCAGCTCCCCTAGGAGTGTGGGGAGAGGCTCACCCAGTCAACACCCATGCCACTCAAGCCGCCCTGAGACACGGTAGGACCTCCTGGCTCCCAGCTGGATGGAACCGTCAGAACCAGAGCACAGCACAGCACAGCACACCACACCATACCTCAGCACAGCACAGCACAGCAGACCTTTGTGAAAGCGAAACTTCTCTGGCCTGAGAGCCAGAGCTGTAACTGTGCTTTGAGAGGGAAGGGGGGTGGGGCTGCTGCCTCTCCAGCCTGTGTCAGGAGACTTTCTCTCAACAGATGGGGAAAAGTCTCTAGGAGCTCTCATTACCCAGGAGCAGAAGGGGTATAGAGCAGACAGTGTGGTAGCCAGGCAGCTGCTTTGCAGAGTCATAGCTTCCTGTACAGCCTGGTCAAAGACTCTGGAGTTCATTACCAGCCCTGGTTCCCTGATCCTGACAGTGAGCTAGCTCTGGCCCTAGCCAAGGGGCAGCTTTGTCTGAATGTTTTTTCCTCATTGTCCTTTTCTTTCCTCAAACATTTGCCGGAATACACTGATTATATTGTAATAAGACAGTTTTCTTTCTTACTGTTAAAGGCTTATTTATTTTTTATGCAAGTATGTGTATATATGCACATGTATGTGTATTTATGTGTAGCACAAGTGTGCTGTGATCACAGAGACCAGAAGAGGATGCCAGTTTCTTTGGAGCTGAATGAAGTCAAGGGCCTTGTGAGCTCCTGCCATGGGTGTTGGGAACTGAACCTGGATTCTTGAAAGAGGCACAAGCGCTCTTCCTAGCTGAGCCGTCTCTCCAGTGCTGGAATGAGACGTTTCAGCCCCTTATTTTATTTAAGGAAATTGTAAAAATAAATATGTAATTTTATAATAAGTACAATATTTGAGGTGCTTTCTGGGTCTGAGTGGTAGGTACACAGTCCCTATAACTGTACAAAGCAACTCTACACCAAAACAACTGGTTCTGGGTGGTCTGGGGTTGCTGACCAATGGCAGCTTCCTGATCAAGCTGCAGTGTGGAAGGAAGGCCACGGTCATCTGCCGTATCCAGCTTCCAGCTGCCTTGTTCTGTCCGCCAGCTCTAATGCCTAACCAAGCAAGGCAGAGAATCACACCTCTAAATAAGGGGGTTTCTAAAGGAAAAGGGGGTTTCTAGGAAGAGCTAAATGACTGCATCATGCCAGGTTGTTTCCCACTCACTGACTGCCCAGGGTCCTGTCTGAGGTACATCAAGTCCTTCAGATATAGCACAGTGCCATACAGACGAGATACAACATGGGTCACGTGTTTAATGAAAACAGTCATGTTATAAAGTAAAAACAGCTGAAAACAATTTTAATAATGTAAACATAGCATATTCAAAATGCAATATCAGTGTGGAATCAATATAAAATTATTGAAAGTTTTTACATCCTTTTCTCCTATTAACTCTTCTAAATTGAGATTTTTTTACCTGGGACAAAGCATAGCTTCAAGGCTGACAGGTACAAACGGCCTGTGGCCGCTGGCCTGGGCCACACATCACATAGATACTGTTCCTATCCCCAGCTAGTGAGTCGCTTGCATCGTTGTTTATCCTCCATTCTTTCCAGGAGCCGAGTAGTGTCTCCAGTCATAGACGTGATTGATTGGAAGACATTTCAGTACTCTGCAGTCAAGCAGCTGCAGCGAGGGGTGCTGGACTGGAAGCTGGATTTCCGATGGGAGCCCTTGGGGGAACAGGAGCAGAAGGCCCTCCCATCCCCCATCAGCCCTATCAGGTGAGGCCCTTCCTTGATTCCACACCTGGACAGCAAACCATTCCATCCGAGTCCCCATTTCCTGATGACAGTGCCTAGCGCATGGGATGGGTAGGTAAACCAAACAAGCCAATGTGTGAAAAGCAGTCAGCTAGCTGCAACGCTGCTACCATTGTGATACCAATGGAGTCCAGTGAAACCCTTCTAGAAGCTTCGGTGGATGCCCAAGGTGAGGATGAGGAGAAAGATGACTGACTTTGGCCCCAGATAACACAGCAAATACTTTGGTCTCAAGTCCCTGCTCATTAAAAAGGAAGAAAATAGATCCAGCCTTGAAAGTTGCTACTCTTGTGTCCTGTTTTGGTTTCTGAAAAATTATCTTATTTAAGTATTTTTTTAAAGAAATTTTCTACCAGATAGCAAACCACTTAAAATTTAGTGTGTAAGACTATAGCTGTTCTTCAAGCTCCCAGACTCTGTGGGTCATGAGCTCTGGAATGACTCAGTCAGGTTGGCTGTCTCTACTCCACTGTGCCCAAGACACACACAGATCAAATTCCCAACATTATAACCGTGGAAATCCAGGCTCTTAAGACCACCCGTTTCCCTGATGTGCTAAACTGGGTGGCTGGTACACATCTGTAGTCTACAACTGATAACCGCCCTCTGAAAACCAAAGCCCTCTGAAAACCAAGCATGTTGTCATAACGCACTGGGCAGCAGATGTGGTAGAGCCCACACTAAGAGCAGTGACATCCTGATTGAGGAAATGTCAGTGTGTGGCACAAAGTGCAGCGACCAACGCTGAAAGGCAGTGTGTCATGTACGCTCCTTTCTAAAATCCAAAAGTTCTGAATTAAAACTCGCACTAGAAGTCAGGGGTTGATGGTCACACCCGATATCCCAAGGGAAGATCGTGAGTTTGATGCCAGCCTGTGCTGCCCAGTAAGACCTTGTCTCCAAAACCAAAACAAAGCAAAGTCAGAGAAACAAACAGAAACAGAAAAAACAACAGCAATGTTGCACGAGGAGGGTGGCCCTTTGTTTGTCCCCACGGCCCGGGGGACTTACACCCGAAATAACCACACAGAAATTGTATTAATTAAATGACTGCCCGGCCCCTTATCTCTAGGCTCTTATTGGCTAACTCTCACACCTTGATTTAACCCATTTCTATTAATCTGTATATCACCACGAGGTCGTGGCTTACTGGGAAAGATTCAGCATGTCTGATTTTGGCGACTCCATGGTGGGTCTCTCTCTCTCTCTCTCTCTCTCTCTCTCTCTCTCTCTCTCTCTCTCTCCTTTCTCCCAGAATTCAGTTCTGTCTTCTCCACCTACCTAAGTTCTGTTCTATCAGCTAGGCCAAGGTAGTTTCTTTATTCATTATTCAATAAAAGCAACACACAAACAGAAGGAACTCCTGCACCACAGCTCCACGAACTTAAGAGAGGAATAGTGAACTCAGAAAAAACCGAAATAACCACACAGAAACTGTATTAATTAAATCATTGCTTGGCCTATTAGCTCTAGGTTCTTAATGGCTAGTTCTTACATCCTAAACTAACCCATCTCCATTAATCTGTGTATCGCCACGTGGATGTGGCTTACTGGCAAGGTTCAGTCTGGCATCTGTCTCCAGTGGGGCTACATGGCTTGTCTCTGACTCTGCCTTCTTTCTCCTAGCATTCAGTTTAGTTTTCCTGCCTGTCTCTACTCTGCGCTATCACAGATCAAAGCAGTTTCTTTATTCATTAACCAATAAAAGCAACAACACATATACAGAAGGACTTCCCACACCACAGAACTGTACAGCTTTGTATTTAAAATATGGCAAGGATAGTGCCTGGCACTGCATGCAACTTCTGATTTCAATCCCCACAAGCTGCAGCTGTGAACGGTTTTGTTTGTTTGTTTTGTTGTTGTTTTGTTTTTTAAGAAAGTGTCTCGCTGTATAGCCTTGGCTATTCTATAACTCACCACACCTGCCCAGCCAGGCTGGCCTTGAACCCACAGAGGTCCTCCTGCCTCTTCTTCCCAGGTGCTGGGATTAAAGATGTACACCACCACAGCTAGTTTGTTTAACTCCATTTTGAGGACTGTTATTCCCATCCATTCCCTTGCCCAGAGTTTCCCATTATCTGCATGGATAAGCCATTGTATTTCACCCAGTGATGATGGGAACCCATCTACAGAACTCCTGTTAGATCCATCTTAAAGGTGGGGAGGGAATAGATGAAAAAAGAAAACAGAAGAAGTGGGGGGAGGGGAGAAGAGAAGCAGGAAGAGCCTGTGTGCATTGCCTTTCCCTCTATTTGAGGAAACACCTGTCAGAAGCACCTTAAGGTAGGAAGGGATCAGGTTTCAGAGATCTCTGTCTATCACAGCAGGACAGCTTGATAGCAGGAGGGATTCAGTCAGGTCTCCACATGCCTGTGGTGGTGGTGGCCTGTTCACACTGGTCAGATGGGAAACTAGACCAGAGCCAGGGACGAGTCTAACCTTCAAAGGCCCACTGCTAGTGATCTTTTCCCAGTGAGGTCCCACTTCCTAAGGGCTCCAAGCCTCTCAGGTTAGTGCTGTAGTCTGGGGACAGAGTACATTCAAGCCACAGAGAGCCTGGCTGTTCCTTTGTTTTGGGCCTGACAACTGCCTTCCTTGAGGTGTCATGTTTTAGCTAGAACCTTCTCCTCAGACACCTCTCTGGAGAGACTCAAGTGCAATCACTACTCCCTTCTATAGAAAAAGACCTAAGGACAAGCTACAAAGACCCAGACAAGTCTAGTGTTCCTTAATCTTCAGTCTGATTTTTATTTACATGTCTGTGTGAGAACAGGCTGTGTGTGCAGGTGCCGTAGGCAGCTAGAGTCACGGACAGTTGTGATCAGTTTGACATGGCTGCTAGACCAAACTTGGTTCCAGAGGACTTCTAGGTCCTCTGGAAGAGCAGCGAACACTCGTAACCATTGAGCCATCTCTGCAGCACATAGTTCTCTTTATAAAATTCTTGGATTTCAAACACTGTTGCTCTGCTCCAGTCTTGTGGTTCAAAATGTTGAGCTTCACCAGAGCCCCAGGGTCAGCTGTCTCATTCACCGAACCTGCTCTGGGAAGCCCCACCTAGGCCCTGGGTCTCTATGCTTGGGTTACCCTGCAGTCTCTTACCTGATTTCTCTGTGTAGGAGCCCTGTGGTATCTGGAGAGGTGGTGGCCGTGGACAGACACTACTTCCAAAACTCTGGAGCTTACGATCCTCTCATGTCACCTCAGGGTGGGGAAAATCTTGAGATGTCCTTCAAGGTAGGTTCTACGTTAACAATAGATGTGGGTGGTATCTCTGGAGCCATGTATGCAGTCAGCTCAGGGGTAGACGTTAGAAAGGGCAGGGGCTGGAAATAAGCTCGTGGGGACATTCTATAAAGTCATAGCACCAGTCAAGACTCCTGCTTCTTCCCAGGCCATGACTCTTGTGACCTACCTTGACTTTACTCTCAGCCTCCTCTGGGAACTTGACTTTCAGAATCCTCGTCAGGAGAAGGTATATTTCAGTCATTCCCATCTCAGTGCAGAGAATCCAGAACTTCTGGTACATTCTCTGTTCGTGGCACTCTTAGCATCTAGGGGATCTTTTACGGTACCCACAAGCCAAATGTGAAACAACTCTTGGCATTGAGTAGTTCCATCCAAACAATGGGACTTCATTTGACTTAGGACCTGCTGGGCATAGCTGTCCTCTCCGTCCTGGGACCTGCGTGGACAGGCACCACCCATACTCTCTGTCCCACTCTGTTCCTAGCAGTATTCTTGCCTTTGAGTTATACCCACTGCCCCAAACCTAATCCAGAGAAGATGTCCATCACCTCACATGGGCAGACCAATCTAATGTGGATGTGTGAATTACAAGATTGTAATTTTATAGTGTTCTTTTCTATTTCTCTAAAAAATGAAAAATGTCTGAAGTGCTCTTTGAGCCTTCTGAGGTATCTTGGGGCACAGTGTTTGAGAACCCCGTGCCTAACATGATATTAGTTCTTGAACCACAGCCTGTCCTAGCACTACTCAATTTTAATTTCTGTCACCAAGTATAGAATAAAGGATTCTTCTCCATTGAGCAGTGGGGGGCAGGGAGAAGCTTCTGGATGGAGTGAAGAAGACTAAGGAAGGTGTGCTTTCATCTCTAGTGTCTGTGCAGGAGACACCACTGGTTCTTAGAAATTTCCTGGCCACTGCAGACATGTTTTCCCTGAGAAAGTATCCTCTGGTCTGCACATGTTTCCAGGTGGCATGTCCAGGCAGGTGCACAGGTGTCAGCCATCACCCCTCAATTCCATTCTAGGACAACTGTCCTCTGTCCCTCCTACCTTACTGTCCTGCTCCCCACACTGTTGGCTTGAGGAACTATACTCTAAGGATATGAACTGGTCATTCTGGCGTGTGACTTCCTGGTGTTCTGTCAGTCGCTCACAGACAGAGAGGTAGAAAGGAGAGCCAATCACCTTCTCCTTCTATGACAGGCCTGGCTTTGTGGTGGCTCCATTGAAATCCTTCCCTGCTCTCGAGTGGGACATATCTACCAAAGCAAAGATGTCAGCTCCAGGACTGACCCTGAGGTCATCTTGAGGAACAAGGTCCGCATTGCTGAGACCTGGCTGGGGTCCTTCAAAGAAACCTTCTACAGGCACATCCCAGAGGCCCTTTCCCTGAGCAAGGTAAAGAGGGGCTGCTAGGGGGTCTTTGACCAACATAAGGTCACTAGCTTTGTGTCAGCCAAGGAGGTCCCTCTCTTATTTCTGGCTTGAGCTTCTCTGAGTTGGCCCTCTAGAGTGATCCTTCTACCTGGTGGGGCTGTCCTCTGTCCCTCCCATCACATCCCTGGAGTCTCACAGTTGACCTTGACCTGGAATTCCCATACTGCTCTAGGATGCTGTGAACCGGAGGGAGATAACGGATGGACCACATCTCTGAGGGTCCTTTCATCCTGAGTGGTAATTAAGGACTAAGGAATAACCAGGACAAAGAAAAGATTTGATTATAAAAATAAATATGAATTTATCAAAAAAATCACAGAAAAGTTGAAATTTA